TATAACAATATTTAAAGACTACTCGAATCTCAATGTAGGATAATTTATTTTCCTTTCAATAACATTATTTCGATTTCAGTATGGGATGCCAGCCTTCGAAAGCTAGTTACAAGATCGTCGTCAAAACTGGTGACCATAAAGGAGCAGGGAGCGATTCGAATGTCCATATTATTCTTGTAAACACACATGGGAATCAATCTCGCATTATCCCTCTTGATTGCATTTGGCGTAACGATTTCGAAAGAGGTAGCAAGGATACATTTCCAGTCAGTGGTCTTGAAAATTTTGGAGATATCGCTGATATTCAATTATGGCGCACCGGAATTATTTGTGATGCGTGGTATATCGAATGGATAAAAGTGCACAATCTTTACAACGGAAAGTGCTTCATGTTTCCAATATGTCGTTGGATGGCTTCAGATAGGTTAATGCAATTTCAGGAATATGATTGTGTGCTGCCACAATTCTCGAAATTCCCTCAACAGCGAAAGATGGAACTCGAGGAAAAGAAAAAGGAGTATGCGTTTGCTCCGAAAATTGAAGGGTTGCCATGCGAGGTAAGATTGTATACGGTATAGGATCCAACAAGCTGAAAATAATGCACAGAGGGTGTATTTTATAAAATATGTTTCTGGCAGCCTAGTCAGGTGTGATATTAGTGATATTTTATCAAACCGTGACGTCAGACACCTTAAGAATGACGAGAACTTAGTGTTTGCGCAGGGTCATGCAAGGTTCTTGCATGATGCAAGTGCTCTTCATTCTGTATACTTCAACTCTTTTTGATACAATTAAAGCACACAGCCTGATGTTCACTGCGGACGGTGCCCAGACTTGTGCGTCTTTCAGCTTCGTTAAACAGTTAAATACGTTTAATTTCTACTATTAAAAGCTGTGTACTGGATATCCGAAAATTGATGTGCGTAAAAATTAAGTGATTTAGAATGAGAACAAAACATAACTTCCATTAATTAGTACAAGGCAACAATTGAATGGAGTTGTAAACACTCATAATAATCTTTATGCGCTTAGCATTAAACCAGTTGATAATAATAAGGACTTTGGAGTATTTTTTGACAAACATTTCCATGAAGAAAGATATTAATAGAGTTTGTTCCATACATAATATCAGAAAAATCTGCAAAATTTCTCAATTTTTTTCTTTAACGTTCAAGAAGTACTTATACCGTATGTATTTATAGCACTACAGCAAGACGGTTTAGAATTTATGTCTATTATATTCAATACATACATACATATATACATACATACATACATACACATATATATACATACATACATATA